ACCCGACTGTTTAAGGAAGGGGGTGATGTTTCCTAAGTGTAATATTTAATAATGTAACATCTCATATATGTGTACATGTATCCGAATTTTAAGCGATAAGCTTAGTTTAAGCGGGTTAGATTTTATAAACGGCATATTATTTATATTTACCTTGTATGTGGGAAAACTACAAGCTACATGGCAAAATTACAATGAACTGAATGTAGCGAAGTAAAAATATCATTATGGCGGTCTCTAGTACCTAATATTGTATCGCTCATACTCTAAGTGAAAAAAGACTAGAAAATCTAAGAAAATTCTCCTTTCTATGCCCGTCAATGCATACTCTTCTGCTTTAGAATCCTTAGAATCCGGATTCCTAATATGTTTTCTGACAGGTGAATAAAATCCCATTGATTTGCTCTGCAGTTTATTATCACAATATACCACCACTTGTTTTCTTTAAAAACAATACTCCCAAAATATTTGATATATCTGATAGGAGTTTTAAATTTAGATAACAAACAGACGGTCTGTAAAGTCACCTAGCGTGAAAGTAGATACAAATTAAATATTATATATAACACTGAGATAACGACTTTGGTGAGAAAAATTGGTACATATTAGGGTATAAGGCGCCCCGCTGTTACCCTTTCCTTGTTTCGTATCGTTGGAAAAGGAAGTTTCATTACATTATACGGAAACTTTATTACGACATGTGAAATTAACCTTTAATGTATAAACAATATTGCATGGTTAAAGTTTGGTACAAATACCCTTAGGTGGATTATTACATTTGCTAAATGTATTTCTGTACAATTGTCATCTGTAAATTTCATATTACATTCGATAAAATAAAATAAACTCTTAAGAATATGTTTTTGAAATTGTATATTTAATAAATATAATTAATTTAAATTTCAGTTATGACGTTTAAATCAATGATATTTTTTATCCAATAGTAGTTTTTATTCGTATTGTATTAAAGTGCTTCTTTACGTTCAGATTAAATTGAACAAACATACTAAAAACATTAATGTACTCGTAGCTATATGTTAAAAAAGTACAAAATCTATACGCACGGCTACAATTTCTAAAGTAAATATAGAATTATATCAATAAAATATTCATATGTTTTTACTATATAATACGTATCATTGTCTATATTTAGATACATAGTCTATTTGCTCCGCTGGTCCTACATTTCATGTTCAATAACATAACTTTTGACTTTTATCTTATCCCAACTCGTTAGATTCTAGATAAACCGAATTTATATTCTTTGGGATATTACAAGTGTGTTATAATATTATAAACTTTAACGAGATATTAAATAAATGTACTTATATAATTGTAATAAGAACTCTATTTAATATTATGTTTAAGCTCAATATGCAGCGACGACGCTGAACTGAATTAACCGACTTCAACAAGAAGAAGGTTCTCAGTTCGGTTATACTTTTTAAGATTTTTATGTCGTGACCTCATAACCCCGTCTGTTCTGAATCTATCTGAAAAATTCTTATTTTATCTGAAATTTTTACACTTACAAATTGGTTTCATAGAAATTTTATCAAAAGTGGTTCAGTAGTTATATTACTAATTTAATTTCTTATCAAATCGAAAGTAGAGATAATAGCAATTTTCATCTGTTTCTTGAATGTTGCGACATTTTGCCATAAGACGATTGTTTGTCGAGCCTTCGACTATTGTCTGAATACAATAATACAGTGAATAACATTTTATTTCCTGTCCTTTAAGGAACTACTACTTCTAAAGTAATCATAAAAGATAACATTCAAAATCTTTGAATATGAAATTAAAAATCTGTTTTGGATAAATAAAGTTAAATAACGTTTGTTGTTGTAGATTAAAATAAGTAGATAGTGTTGATTTTGCAGAAAGAATGTTCAATGAAAGGCTGATGAAATAGATAGATATAAGTACAATAAGAAAGTAAAAGGATTAGGAATTATAGTAAAAGGAGAAAAAAAAGAGCAGCTACCAGGCAGGTCTAGACTAATTTATAATGATTAAATAGATCGTATGTCATTTGAAGCCAAAAGTATAATACAAAAGTAAATATTAAGATTTAATAGTACATTTTACTGCAAATTTTTTTGATGAAATGAAATAGTAACCCCGCCCGCGCTCTTGGTATGTGACGACAGATTACCAGTTAGGAATCATAGATGAAGAAAGGTTAGGTCCAGCAAGACATTCAATAGGGGTCCAACAGGACGGTATCCAAAGGAACACGAGAAAGTCAAGTAAAGTCGACTTGATATTCCTGACAGCCGCTGAACTCCATTATTAACAATCCTTTACCCTCAGTAATTGTAGATTAGCATTGTTCAGGTAAGACTAAGACGATGCCGGTACTGCATTCAACATAAATTCAAGAATCGATGCGCGTTAAGAATATACCCTACGGCGAATGAGCGAAATCGATTGATCATTATTCATTTGAGGCTGACAGATTGTGATGTGAAACACTTGAGAGTAATAACTTTAACACGCCTCGGTGTCCCTTTGATAGATGTTTTCTGGAATAACAAAATGTTAACATGTGTTTTTGTTTGAAAGAATAATGACAGTGTATAATAAATAGCATGATCTCATTATATTTTGTCACATTTCGAACACTCTTGTTGACATTTGTAAGTTTAGTCAAAAGTTATCTTTACTAATAATATAAATGTGAAAGTGAATTTGTTTGCTTGTTTGTAATCTCATTGCGCCTTGACGGTTTAACCAATCATAACGAAGTTTGGTATACACATACTACATAGGATGGAAAAGGATATAGACTACTTTTTATGCCGATTAATAGACATATTCCAATCGTGTAGGCAACTTTCAGATGTATTTGAATTTAGTAAGCAGAATCGTGTCTTTAGAACTAGATTTTTTTAGCACCAAAAAAAAAATATTGCTCCATAAGGAAAAATTACAATAGGACTAAATATTTATTGATTGAAACTACGTCGAAAAAGGTTTATCAAAATCGCTTCAAATTTGGTGACGTAATTGCGTAACATAAAAACACAGCCCAAATGAAAATCTCATCCTTATGTGAATCTCTCAACAGACTTGCCACATTTATACTCAGACATTACTTATTTCGTGTACAAATCGTTTAATACTTATTACGTAACACTATAATCTATTATTTTTAATTCTAAATAGTTACAACTAAAAATAATGTACTATTATTTCACGTCACGAATTAATGCGTCAGCCAAGTAACAAAAGAGAAACACGGATGCTATGAAGGCATATGTCTTTTCATAGTCAACTTAACTAAAAGGATTATAATGATATCTTCCGTCGTCTGACAGCCAGTGTGGTCCAACGAGCGTGAACAGAGAACTCTTTTGTTGGAGTATTCGGAAATTTTGTTACCTTAAGCTTTTAATACTTTTATGCGATAGTTGCTTTTTAATTTTAGCATTTGAAAAGGGTTGATTTTAATCCAACTTCTTTGTAGGTAAGCGCGTTAAGTTACTTTGTTGCCTCACAAAGTTTCTATTCACGTTGCGGTGAATTCATTTCGAATTCTTTATAGAAACGATAATAGGTAGCAATAAAAATATTAATAAGCTTTACTAGGATTTTCATAAAAAAATAATATCCCAAGATGAAAATTCAGTTGATATAATTTATGTATGGTAAATACTATACAAATATTACACTTCCCTAAGACCTTCCTTTTAATATTTAACCTTAGTTATATATAAAGAGTAGAATTTCCATATTCAATAGAACTCCTTCTTTAGAATATGTTCTGAAAGCTACGGTAACCTCGTTTACCATCAGATGAACCGTATGCTTGATCGCGACTTCAAAAAGAAGGAGATTCTCAAATCAGATGCATTTTTTTTTATCTGAAAGGATATACTTATAGATTGATTTTATATTAATTTTATGAAAATTGGTACACTAGTTTAGTTTTTAAATCCAAATAATTGATTTTGCCATAATTAAAGTCAGTTTATTAATGAAACACAATTTAATTATATCCATATTTTTTACATGCATCTCAAAATAATAAACAAACTTGCGGACCACCTCAGAAAAGTGGTAACCATCCTCTGCAGATATAAATACCGCCATAGACGTTACAATATACCCTCGTTACCCATACTGTACCGTACAGGACGTTATACGATAAAATAATTTATAACTATACATCTATACACACTCCATTACAGCTTTTATCAAATTAAATAGGATTGTCTCTGAGTAAACATTTGCACGAATATTTTATTCTAATGCGGGATATGGGATTGCGTTACTTATAAGCAAAACGACCACTCTAACAGCTAAGCACTTAATCCCGGTCGCCCAATACAGAGTGAGGATGTTTTTATTGCAATTACAATTTTATATTAATACTAGAAAGAGACAATCTTTACTAACTGACTAATATTCGCAAAGCCGAAACTATTAAAAATCTCAAAAAAAAAGAGAAGAACACATTAAGTCGTGACAAAAGAGGTTACTGATGAACGACTGATTGAACGACGCGATATCTAAAATATTCAGAATCGTGGAATCGTGTAACATGGAAGGAAACCTTATAAATGTATATATAAGAAAAATAAAAACACATATAAAAAAAGCAAACCCGAATAGGTGCCCAATGTGCATTAACTATTAAAAAAAAACTCAGGAAAGCTATATATTATTATGAACCACAACGGTGATAAATAAGCATACACCCCTTCTGAAAATAAAGAAAAAATACCAAAAATAGATATATCTATTACTTTTGCGCCGCATTGTACCTACTTATGTATTTATATACCTAATATACTTAATTACATCTCAGTTTGACTTCCGAAAACAGCTGATGCCTGCTTTCATTCAAAGTTTGTGGTTAGGAATACGTAGAGCCGATCGCTTAAAGCTCGGTAAAAAATAATTTATTGTAATAAGTCGTCGTGAACAGTCGCCACCGATCGGCTCATCTCGTCCCGTGCCCCTTTCCTAGCGGGGAACGTATATTCTACTCAACTGCAATGCCTCTACTCGCAGTCAGTCGACTCGTGAGAGCGTCGAGGCACGGTCGCGCCACGCGACGCTTTGAACGGCATTACGTTTCTATAAAAACACGATTATCGTCAAAGTGCTACAATCATAAACTTACAGACTTAATATTAAACCAAGTGAAGTTGAATCATAAAACGATCTTATCTGAAGATTTCACTTATGATATTGAACGTTTCAGCAGAAGTGAACGGTTTATGTGAGAATTCTGTTTACCTTACTGTGGACATTACAAACACATAGTGAAATAAAGAATATAGTCATGTGCTTTATCACAATAAGGACTATTACGTGTTAAATTGGTGTTCAAATAGACTTTATAAATTGATGGATACTACACATCCGGCAAGGGGACATAACAAACGAACGCCGACGGAAAAAACATGACACTGAATCTACTGTGTCTTGTTTTCTTTCTTCCTTGATATTTGATTTTTCCAATAATGGCTGTTCAGCAAACTTTTCTAAGAAAACGGCTCTTTGGTCAAATTGTATTATGGCTTATCGTCGGATTGAATGTCGCAGATCAGAGCTCATTGCCATTAAAATATGAAGCTCCCGACGATTGCCAGTGGTGGCTAAGGGGTCCAAATGATGCCCATGAAGTTTCTCTCACATGTAAACTTCGTACAATAAATAGTGAATTTGACACAACGAACTTCAGTGTAATTCCATCGGAACATACAACATCTTTAAGAATAGAATGCAATGAAGAAATGATGTATAAAAGTTCATTAGATGACCGTAGTTTCGCACATTTAGTAAAACTACGTGAACTTGTTTTGGATAACTGTAAAATTGGAAGATGGCTGCCCGGTGTGTTATCCGGTCTAAAAGACCTCAGAAATTTAACTATTCGAACGAAAAATACAGAATGGGCTGCCATGAGTTTAGAAATAGCATCAGATAGCTTTACAGCAGTTCGACAATTAGAAAAGCTAGACCTCAGTTTTAACAATATTTGGTCATTTCCTGAAAATTTGTTTTGCCCCTTGACTAATTTAGTGTACTTAAACGTATCTTCAAATAGGCTCCAAGATGTGAGTGATTTGGGATTCAGAGAACGAGCTATGCATCAAGCACTAATTAGTGAACAAGATGGACCACTTCCTTCGGTAGCGTCGTTACCACATACTTCTTGCTCATTAGATATAGAAGTATTAGATGCTTCAAGTAATCACTTTGTATTAATGCCAGAAAATGGTTTTATGGCTCTTAGAAGACTAAAAGAATTACATATTCATGATAATGAAATTTCTATGGTCGCTGATAAAGCATTATCTGGATTGAAACAACTGCAGATAATAGATCTTTCAAATAATAAAATCGTGGCTCTTCCACAAGATTTATTTAAAGATTGCAGACCAGTCATCAAGGAAGTTTATTTACAAAATAATACAATCAGTGTACTTTCGCCAAGTCTCTTCGCAAATTTGGATCAGTTATTAGCATTAGATTTATCTAATAATCATTTAACAAGTACTTGGATAAATGAAAATACTTTCACCGGCTTAATACGAATGGTATTGTTAAATTTATCTAATAACAGACTAACTAAACTCGATCCAAAAATATTTAAAGATTTGTATACGTTACAGATTTTAAATGTACAGCATAATATGTTAGAAAGTATTGCGGCCGATACATTTTCACCAATGAATAATTTGCATACTCTTATACTATCTTACAACAAAATATCCCATATCGATGCATACGCTTTGAATGGATTGTACGTATTGTCACTTCTGTCGATAGACAATAATCAACTAGAAGAGCTCCATCCTGAGGCATTTAGGAATACATCATCCCTTCAAGATTTGAATTTAAATGGAAATCGTTTAAAGCAAGTACCGATTGCGCTTCGAAACATGCGATTACTCAGAACGCTTGATCTTGGAGAAAATCAGATAACATCACTGGAAGAGCCCGGATTTGTGGGTTTGCATAATGTATACGGCTTACGCCTTATTGGGAATAAAATAGAAAACATAAGCAAAGACGTGTTTTCTGATTTACCATCTCTTCAAATTTTAAATTTAGCTCGAAACAAATTAAAACATATAGATATAAATGCATTCGAAACGCTAACAAATTTACAAGCCATTAGATTAGATGCAAACCAACTCACAGATATACAAGGTCTATTTGTAAATATTCCATCTTTGTTGTGGCTAAACGTATCAGATAACCAAATAGAATGGTTTGATTACGCTGTTATTCCTCCGGGACTTCAATGGTTGGATCTTCATAGTAACAACATAAAAGAGTTAAGAAATAACTACCGCATGGATAAAGAGTTACGTTTGCAAACATTGGATGCGAGTTTTAATAAAATGACCAAAATATTCACATACTCTATTCCAAGTAGCGTAGAACTGCTGTTCCTTAATGATAATCAAATTACACAAGTTGAAGCTCAAACTTTTGTTGGAAAAACCAATTTAACAAGAGTCGATTTATATGCAAATCAAATAACTAGTATGGATCTCAATGCGCTTCGCCTAACTCCTGTGGATCCTGGACGCCCCCTGCCTGAATTTTATATTGGTGGAAATCCATTTCAATGCGACTGTACAATGGAATGGCTTCAACGTATCAACAAATTAGATCACCTAAGACAACATCCTAGAGTGATGGATTTAGAGAGTATTTACTGTAAATTATTATATAATCGTGAAAGAACATATATTCCATTAATCGAAGCGGAATCATCGCAGTTTCTGTGTACATATAAAACTCATTGTTTTACATTGTGTCATTGTTGTGATTTTGATGCTTGTGATTGTGAAATGACGTGCCCATCGAACTGTACATGTTATCACGACCAGCCGTGGTCAGCGAATATTGTGGACTGTTCTGCTGCGGGGTATTCAGAAATACCTAGCAGTATACCTATGGACGCTACTGAATTATATTTAGATGGTAATAATTTTGGTGGTTTAACAAGTCATGCATTTATTGGACGTAAAAATTTAAAAATTTTATATGCTAATAACTCTAATATTGACGCTTTGTATAATAATACGTTTAGTGGACTAAAACGCTTAACAGTGTTGCATTTAGAAAAAAATAATATCAAAGAATTATTAGGTTTCGAACTGTCTCCTTTGGAACATTTACAAGAACTACATCTACAAGACAATAAAATACATTATATCGATAATCGGACATTCATTGAGTTGAGGCGTTTAGAAGTACTCCGTTTGGAAGGAAATAACATTTATGGATTTGCTGTGTGGCAATTCACGATGAATCCATATTTGGTTGAGATAAGTCTCTCTCGTAATTCGTGGTCATGTGACTGTCAGTACTTACATAAATTTAGAAATTGGTTTAAAAATAACCTTGGTAAAGTGGAAGACGCCGATAAAATTACTTGTATATTTGACAACGTGACAAATACAGTGGGTCCATACATGGCCGATTTTAACTCTACTATTTGTACCAGTCATGTCGGTGGGAGTTCCTCGATTATAGAAAATCAAGTAATAAATGATTATCTACCATTATTACTGATATCGCTGTGTGTATTTATTATTAGTTCTATTCTAATATGTGGTATATTTTACTGGCGCCGTGAGCTCCGTGTATGGATTTATTACCATTGTGGATTCAGAATGTGTTATAAAAGCACGGCTTTTGACGACGAAGCCGATAAAGACCGGCTATTTGACGCCTACATCAGTTATAGCGTGAAAGATGAAGCATTCGTCGCACAAATGCTAGCGCCTGGCCTAGAATCAACAGACCCCAGCTTTCGCCTTTGCCTACATTACCGTGATTTTAACGCGTCCGCTTATGTAGCAGATACGATAATAGAAGCCGTGGAATCCTCAAAGAGAACTATTGTAGTCCTATCTAAAAATTTCATTAACAACGAATGGTGTCGTTTCGAATTCAAGACGGCGCTACACGAAGTATTGAAAGAGAGACGAAGAAGACTGATAATAATATTGCTAGGCGAGCTACCTAATAGGGATATTGATCCAGAGTTGAGGTTGTGTTTAAAAGCAAATACGTGTATAGAGTGGGGGGATAGGCAGTTCTGGCAAAAACTGAGGTTTGCAATGCCGGACTTGAGGAAGTGTCAGTATCACCGTTCGACTGTGAATATTTACGCGTCGGTGTCACCGGTGGGGGCCGGACGGGCGCCGGCGCCGCCCCCTCCGCCACCGCCGGGCAAACTCCCCCCTCTGCTGGGCGACGGGCTGGCGCTGCCGGCCGGCGTCCACGCACGAGATCCGCACCCACACCGCTTGCCACCGCACGCGCAGCTTTGGGCGTAGCGTATGCTCCAACGCAGGTAAACAGATACTGTCCATACTTGCAACGCTTAAGCGTATTAGTCCAATAAAAGTGATAATTATATTTAGGTTGTTCTATGTTATATAATATAATGTGTAACAAAGGTTACAATGCCTGACTTGAATCTGCATTTATTCGTATTAATAGCTAGGTTGCTAGTTATGTTTTAGTTGTTATGGATTTCCTAATTTCTGCGATAATAATTTATAGAAGAACAATGAATCGGTCCATTGTAAATACGAGTATTAATGTACATATAAGATTTAACATATTTTTTATTTGAATTGCTTAAATTATTATAATGCCAAAGTTTAAAACTTATTAATGTACAGATATATTTATAGTACTAACGATTTTGTTAAACAAATAATTTCAAGAAAAAAAGACTGTAAATAATTATGACTTTTTTTGTATATAATATCTGTAAATACGATATGGATAAAGAATTTATTATCAAAGAAAATCATGAAATACACACATTTTCAAAATTTATTTTGTTTTGATTTATTTCCTTTACCTTTATTATTTATATAATTATGTTACAATATTTATTTTTTTCCTTTACAAAAAATAACGAAGCCTATTAATAGTGAGAATACAATATAGATTAAATTTTATACCTATTTTATGTCTTAAAATATATAAATTTTGCTTCAACTTGATAGAAAAAGTGTTTCCTTATAACTTTGAGTGATTTTTAAAACAACTTGAAAGGCATGGAATAATTTAGATCGCTCGATATTTAAAGCTTGACTAGCCTGAAGTATCTTCAAGTATACACCTAAGTATTTCAAACTTTGTTCATTCCTTGAAGCTTAAACAAACCACTAGCGTATATTATCCTTTGAATATAGAAAATTATTTAAATTATAATGAAAATAATCCCGTTGTTCCAACAAACTGATTATTACCGATATAAGAAGTACAGTATTTCGTCTACCTTAAAATATTAAAGAGTTTTGAACTTCTTAATATTTTAAAGTAGAAAGAATGTCTTTAGAACTTAGTAAGAATTCAGTCAGATTATTCAACTAGGTACCTATTTTTTATTCATAAGAATATACAAAGTACTTGATTTTGTACTCGGAAATATTCAAATTAATGTCTTACTCTGAATGAGAATCTTGTTTGTCGGATCTTAACAGGTATTATTTAATGGTAAATATAGTATTTACCTCACTCGACGTTTGGACTAAGTTGCATTAGTCTTGTTTACAAGCATACTGGGGTATAGTATGCCATAGTCGGTTGGTGTCAATAGTTACTCGTACTTCAACTATAATTCTTTAAAAAATGTTTAGTAATGAATTACATCCTACTACAATTATAAACGCAAATATATGGTATAATATATGAATAGATGGATGTTTGTTACTCTATCACACAAAAAATACCTACTGCATGGATTTGAATGAAATTTATAACATAAAGGTAAGTTCCTACTCTAACTTAAAACTTACTAAACTTATAATAATTTACACACGCGAACATGCGCATCACAGGTAATACTTTAAATACTTCCCAACTCATGTTAAGATTCCACAAACTACATTACTATCATATTTACTCCATCATCATAGGGATTATACTACATTACATACAAGTATATGACGAAAATAATATAACTAATTGTAGCCTTTTACTTAAAATGACTTGCTTGTGTAAATACGTAAATGAACACTTAAAAGTGCAAATAAGCAAATGAACTTTGTACAAAAGTCGATTGCTTGGGTACCTCTGTCCCATTCGTGTTTCAACCGTGAAACATTTGTGTTTGCATGGCTGTGTTTCGGTTTGAAGGGTGGGATATGGCGTGAATTTACAGGGTACAGAGGAATAACACCTGAGTCCTCAGGAATGGCAACGCATGGGGGTATCATGGGCGAAACAGTATACTCTGTTATGTCCATGGTACTGCTCATGTCTATAGGCGACGGTTACCACTTTCCATCAAGTGGGCCGTTAGCTTGTTTGCCATTCTAAGTTGTATAAAAAAAAAACAATAACGGTACGGTAGGAAAGTGATCTTACTAATTATATACGTTATAAGGTTAAATCAATTTGTGAATATGTTTGGATATTTAAATGTCAATAACCGAATGGATGTAATGAATAAATAGCTCGAAGAAGCGACCACTGATGATTCTTTAGTAGCAACCCCGTTTAGGCTTTAGGGTGACTCCCCAGTAGATGAAACGATGAACTCAAATGCATTATAAGGAGTCAGTGGATGTAGGTGGCTTGGTAGCTTTCATTATGGCATTCCACGGCAGAGGCCTATGTGCAGCAGTGAATCATTAATAACTGATATGATGACGATGATGACCTGAAAGGATTTTAATAAGACGTTAAAGTAGAAGAACTGTTGCTTACAGTAAGTAACTTTGAATTACGGAGAAGATCAAGGGTAATTTAAGTATATTTATCTAGTAGAACTAATTATTATAATTATGTATTTCTGTCTGTTTAACTTCGTCATGAGATATATTTGTACAGATTTGTTAATATCTTACAATTAATACTCACCAGAGGAGGACTTTGTACAAAAGTCGCTTGGGTACCTCAGTCCCATTCGTGTTTCAATCGTAAAGCAGTTGTGTTTACATGGCTGTGTTTCGGTTTGAAGGGTGGGATATGGTGTGAATTTACTGGGTACGAAGGAATAACACTTGAGTTCTCAAGAATGGCAACACATCATGGGGGGTATCATGGGCGAAACAGTATATTCTGTATATAAAGTTAATAAAAAATAATAATAGGTAGGTATTAGTGCGACATAAAAACTGGATTACGTTTTGTCAGAATTTCGAGATACAACTTGAGCCCTCTATTAAATGAAATCATATAGAGCATATAGATCTACATTAATTGAACAATTAAACTGATTGATTAAATAGTTTCATCTTAGCAAAGCTGCGAGAAATAGTATGAAATTATTACGTCAAATAAATTTCTTAATCATAAGCAGTACATAGTCCATTCGGGTTACTCAAAATGTATTTATGTTTAATGTTTATTAATAGGTTTATTTTCATTTCCAAGAAAGGAGGTTTAAGGAAAATAGACGTATTTAAGAACCCGTAGTGAATGGAGGAAATGTCGACAAACGTACATCTATTTATGTGTCCAGAACAAATTAAACCAAAGCGTATATTTAATCCTATTAACAAATCTTTACTAACATTATAATAATGAAAGTGTGTCTGTTTGTTTTTTAATTTTATATAAATGTTTCTACCCTTCGTGTTTGTCAAATATTTGTCGTATTCATGTAATACCGGACTTATCTGAATGAATTTGAACAAATTTGGTACATAGATAAATAATATCTTAAATTATACATAAAATACATATAATATAGATAACATATAAGATACTTTTTAACTTAATTCACGCAGGAAAAGCTGCAAGCTACAGTTAGTAGTATTATAATTAGTAAGGTATTCCAAATATTATTTTGCCCCCTAGACAAGTGGCAAACAAATATGTCGTTAGATACGTTTTCTGTCGCCCGTGTAAGATAGAGTGGGACAGGAATTGGTCCTAAATACGCCTATAGTAATTTTTAAAAGGCCAGCAACACACTGATGTCGTCCTTCGTGTTGCAAGTGTTCCTGGGCTACATAAGCCATTTTCCGTCATATAAACTGTCAGCTTTGGCACTCTATAATTAAAGATAAATAAATAAAACCGACTTCAATTATAACAAGACCAGTCGTTTTGGCTTTAAAACTAAACTACTGAACATATTTTGATTAGAATTAACGGAGTTATGAGGTGACAAAAAAATACAACCGAAATGACTCGTCCTTTTTGAAGTTGGTTGAAAAGTAAAAAAAAAATGCATTTGATAGCAAACATACAAATGACACAGACAGATACACAGAAAATGTCATGTTACAAAAATACAACTTAACTGCAACACATTTCCTATAGAGTTTCATAGTTTCTGCGAATAAGAGGTTCCGTACAATGTTTACTTCGTGTTGCGTTTCCGGAATCAGGAAACCGGATTTCTGTGTAACCCAGTAAAGATGGGGTAAGTTTTGTCATATTGTTATCTAAGTGGTAACTATATACAAACTGATATAGTTTGTTACCCAAAATGAACAAATTGGTATTACCGGTAGATTAAACTAAGAATGCCATCAATTATAATTATGACTTTTATATTTTCTGAATTACTTGTATAGGTTAATATCTACTAATGATTACAGTTTTAATAATCAAATTCATTTATCATTAAAAATTACAGTAAATTACAATTATATCCTGCCGTATGATCCCGGTATAGAATGGGCCACCTCTTCCTTTCCCATGTGCCAACTAAGGGAATTTAATGGTCAATGGATGGGCAGCAGCGTCCCTCTTCAAAGATCGCCAAAGCATAACTACGGTTGTCAACTCACCTGCCAAGCGTGGCGACTACTAGCAATACCCCCTTTATTGGAGTAGCCAGCAGTGAACAATTAACTGCTGATATTATTATCATTATGCCTAGAAGCGCTGAAGTAAAACAGTACTTTTTTTTATTTGACCACCCACTATAATTAGCAAATTCAGTCGACAAGAAAGAAAAATCCATCTATTAGTCTTTTCAAATTATTTTTTTATAAAACAAGCAAGATAAGATTTTATTATGAACACAAATTAAGATAGCCTAAAAACATAAAAGTAATATATAAAATAAAAAACAGAGCTAAGCCTAGTAACAGTAAAATTCTAAGTAAATAGCTAAGTACTAATTAAATTTATATAAATTTCATAAATAGGATTTATTTACTTGCACAGAAACATATTTCTTGTTTTACATTATACAATCGGTTCTTTCTTTTATTTAAAAAAAAAATACATTAAAAGAGAATTAATAAACTCGTCGAATTATAACAAAATAAAATATATTCAAATCTTATTTTGTTCTCTCCTTCTGGATCGCACGCGACACGCGCTGGGATAAATCTTCATATTTTTCCACCCAATAACCATTATATCCACTTA